ATTGTACAGCATCAGATCTTATAGAGTTAAAAGGCAGAGTAGCTTGTGAACTTAATGGGGCTGATGAATTGTTAATGACGGAAATGATTTTTAATGGTTTATTCAATTCGTTAAGTGTACCGCAAATGGTAGCATTAATTAGTTGTTTTGTTTGCGATGACAAATCAAATGAGATGCCTAAGAGTACTGAAGAATTAAGTGGTCCACTCAGACAAATGCAAGATTTAGCACGAAGGATAGCAAAAGTATCTACAGAAGCTAATCTAGAATTAGATGAAGACACATATGTAGAAAGATTTAAACCATATTTAATGGATGTCGTATATGCTTGGTGCAAAGGAGCTACTTTCTTACAAATTTGTAAAATGACAGACATATTTGAAGGTATGTTTAAAATGTCACATTTTTTTTTAAACTATCAAATGGTTTTATATCTAACTTTTTGGAAATAATATAATTTTAATTTATTCTAGGTTCCATTATAAGATGTATGCGTCGTTTGGAAGAAGTTCTTAGACAGTTATGTCAATCAGCCAAAAATATTGGAAATACAGATTTAGAGAATAAATTTAGTGAAGCAATTAAACTTATAAAGCGTGATATTGTCTTTGCTGCATCTTTATATTTATAATAAAAATTCCTAGAAAAATTTACTATTAATCAAAATATATTTTTTTATTACAAATTCCATTCATATTTATTACAAATTAAACTCCTATAATATTTTTAAGTTCTTATTGCAATCGTGGTAACGACAAACAAAAGGCTACTTTTGTTTGAGGTTTTTTGAAATGTAATTTATTTTTAGGAATTTAAAATATACAATGCACATGCATGGAAAGGACTTTTTTTTATAATATAACACTACATTTGTCGTACGAATGAATAGTACGAAAAAATACAGCATAAAAATGTAGTTGTACAATAAACTGAACTCATACTAACTGATAACTATTCAAAACTTGTTAAATAAATAACACTTTCAGAATATTGCAATGCTTAATTTCTACATTTTAATTTAATAACAACAAGTTACTTATCGTTCTTCTAAAATTACTGTTTCTTGAGGACAGAATTTTAGATCCATAAGAGTGAGTTTCGAATCCATAGACGTCAACTGAAATAAATACAAACATATCTTTGAATTAATTTAGGTTTAATATGTATTTAAATTTCTATCAAAAATTGACAACACATTTGTAATAAGTCCTTTGTTTATATTTAATATAATAAAATGAAAAGCACATTTATTTAATGAAAACTCAAGTGCTTACATCATCTACTTACATCCCTTCGAGGCCAACTACACAGAACTTTGTATTCTTCTGTAGGATAACCTTCCACAATGAGGAAATTAAGAAGCGTCTGTAACGGTGTATCAGACTGAAATCTACGCTCTAGAAATTTTCCAGCTGGTAACCGCACTCGTACTTTCAGTACTCCATCACCAGTTCCTTGTTGTGGTTCAGGAGGTAAACTCGATTCTACCGCCTGTCTGTGAGCTTCTTTTCTCGCTTCTTCAGCCAACCTTTCATTTTCAGCCTGTTCTTTACGTTGTTTTTCTAACTCTTCTTGTATTTGCTTTGCTTCCTCTTTTGCTCTAAAATTTTTTTTAGATTAAAGTATTACATATAATAATGCTTTCAAAACAATTTCTCCATTATTTTTAGTGTTGCTTGTCTTTCTTCCTCGACTCCAATATCAGTACGTCTCTGCTCCTGTTTTACAAAAATTTAATGAAAGCTATTATATTAACATTATATATTAATTTCATAAACATACATATTAAATTTTTGTTTACCTGAAATACTTCGACAACATGAATTAAATTAGTTAATAGTTCATTTACTCCCACATTAGCATGTATTACTGTAAACATTTCTGTGATGGATCTAGCTCTCATTATAATTACAAGAGCAGGTAGGGTATCAACATCTATATTTTCCATAGCTAATGTTGCAAATGATCCTAATGTCTGTTTTACAGATGCAAGAAATCTGTAAATAAAAAGTACATTTTTAAAGAATTTTACGTCATAAAAATATTAATTTGTACTATCATATATACCTGTCTTTATTAGATTCAAATGTAATATCCCAACCCCACACAATGAAATTTGCAGATAGGACTTGGAGTACTGCTTCACAGTTTAATAATTGTGTGCAAAATACATTTGCTAGTACACTATTATCATGATGTAAGTATACAGCTAATAATTTTCTCTATAATATCAAACAATAATAGTATTTTAGACAAAGCAATATTTGTACTAAATAATGATTTTATTAATTACAAACCTCTTTTGCTGGTTTTAAACATGATTCTTTAACAGCATCTTTAAATGTACCAGTAAAAAATTCTGGATGTGCTGGCCCATATCGTTTTTCAAATTCTTCTGCAAAATGCATTGTACCTATTGTTTCATCTGTTACATTTTCTGGCACTGTAAACGAATTATCTTTTACTATTTAATACCAGTAAGGTATCAAAATTATTGTTAATAATATAGAATTATATTTTAAAAATTTAATATTCTTACTAAGCCGCTGAGTTTTTGTAGATCTGACATTATCTACAAAAATATCATCTTCTATATCATCTTCATCTATAGAACTGTCACTTTCAACTAAGTCTATAACATCCTAAAAATAATTGAGTATTATTTTAATGTTACATATATTTATAATGTTATTATTAATACCTTCTTTTCCTCTTTCATAGGAAGTTCATTAACAGATAGGTCATGTTCTGGATAAGAAATTCCACTTTGGGCTAACATAACATTATCATTTTTTATTGAACTTGGCCAGCCTTTCCATTGTTGATTTCGAACTGGAACAGCTGTTAATGCATGAATGCCAGATTTTACATCCAAAATTGTATTTGTTCCAGGAAAATTCAAGTTATATGTTCGCTTGTTTATTTCATCTTTAATATTTAAAGTATATGTTTGAGTCATTCGATTTGATAAACTTACACTACAAAAATAATAAATTCATATAATTATATATAAAATTTAAATATTTATCAGATTCATATATATAATTTCTAAGAAATTTACTTACACATCAGTTGATAAGTCAACATCTTCTGTTGCAGGAGACATATACAAAGTATTTTCTTTAGGTAAATCTAATGACAATAATGATCTGTAATCTGATTTTGGTTCTTTCTTCCATCCATATAAACGTTGTTGACAAGGTGGGACATTTGTTTGTATCCATATAAGCTGTTTGAGATCCTCTAAAAATAATATACACACGCATATAACTTTAAATTTAATTACTGTAGATAAGTAATATAAAAACATATTAATCACTTACTTAATAATGAAAATTCTGACAAATTTATTTTATACTCATTATTAAGATGGTTAACATGGAATGTAAGTGTTCTTTCTCTCTCACAACTTTTAGGTTTACTTGTACCTGGTTTTGAATTTTCTGTTACTTCCATTTTGGAATTATTCTTAGAATCACAATTAGTTTGAGATGATAATGAATATGACTGAGGCATTCTTTCAATTTCTTCTATCATTTCTATATCTGGACTTACTTCAGAAGGTAATTGTTGAGTACTACGAGGCATAGCTTGATTTACTGCTGCCTATATGATATGATATTATATTTTTTAAAACCAACTTTTTGTTTTTAAATGTATTGAACAAATGAATTTATATAAAAAATTTACCAATAAATCCCAATTTGATTCTTCTAAATATTTAATAGCGTCACCAACATCATCAATTCCTGTACATGCCTAAAAAAACAATTTATGTTTGTTTATGTTAATTGAAGGTAATTGATACAGAATTCATATAAAGTTACTTTTACAATATATTTTCGATTAATTAATAAGAAATTTCTTAACATTTTTTTTTATTATACCACCATAAATTTAATCTTTGTTACTCATTTTTATGATTCATAAATACAATAGAGTAAAGACAAAAGAAACTAACACTCAAAAAAACATTTAAAATCAAATATAGCATTAAACATCATAAAATATAATTTAAATGGTTTATTTATCCTTTTATATATTTTTAAATATCATTAAAATTTTAACAAATCGAAGAGAAAATAAATGTAAAGAATATTGTTTTATATTCATAAATTTTTACTACTGTCAATGTCATTAATGCATACATCATAACCTAAAATTCTATTTTGTGTTTGAAATTAGTGAATAATTACACATTCAATAAATCACCTGAAAGTTAGCTAAAATTTCATCCCGGATTCCAGCCATCGTGTCGTCGTTTACTGTCAAACTTGAGAAAATATGTGGATCGCGAAACCTATTTCGTTACTTTTTAATCGTTACAAGCAACGTGCACAACTAATGTAAGCCATTGACGTCTTGAACCTCACGCTAACTTGAAACGAACATTGAACCATCTATATAGTGTTTATATATTTTCTCTTACATTACAGTAGCAAATAATTGTTCTTACGCCTAACGATACCAGATCAGATATTTTCACTACTCGAATAAAAGTTTTCAATATACGAATGATTATGATTGGTACAATCTGAAATCGTTACAAAGAGATCTCCAATCATATTTGAACAACGAGAAATACTTATGAAATATTTTTTACATTTATTATAGCGTTTTACGTTTTATACGTTTTTAATAGTAATATATTTTATTTTATTTATTATTTTAAACGAGTATGCAAGACAACAATGATAATAATTAATTTTTATAGATCATTTTATATAACATTTACATATCATTCTGTATTTTTATCAATCATGAGACACTGAATTAAATAAAATTGACAATTAAAAACTAATAGTTAATACTTCATAGTCTATATTATTATAGTTAAATAATCAAAAATATTATTACAAACAAACTGATTTCATCGAGAAAAATTAAGTATGCAATGTTTAGTTAAAACGTCTTGTGCACCCATACATGAAATGAAATACAGGCTTTAGTATGCAGTATGAAAAATAGAACTTTAATACCGTGATCGTAACAGAAGCGAGTTCTGTTCCGTCCACGTGAAATCAGTCGTAAATTTACAGTAATTGTTTCCATTGTCAAAAAGTTTTGTTGCGTGCATCGTACCTGCGCGCGTGGCCGATCGAGGAAGAAGACTTTTGTGCCTTCCACGCCGGGCATCGCCACTCTATCATGATAAAATTATTTTCATTAAAACAAGCGAAAAAGGATGGCGAGTCGCCGAAGGCTGGCACTCAAAAGAAGGCATCTGCAGCACAATTGAGAATCACAAAAGGTTTATTGACGGACACTTATAGTCTTCTTTCCAATTTGTGTCTTATTTGGCATGCGAACTTTATTTAATACATCAAATCTGAAACGTATCGATCAGAAGAAACTTATTAAAACTTTTATAGGATTTTGACGTTATAATTGGTTTTATATTTAATAATACTTAATATTTGTTCATTTTTATCAATATCCATTATGCGTACATTTTATATTTAGTTTTTTGCTTTCGTTATTTTGCATAAATACGTATGAAATATTTACAAGATAATTTATTATTTTATAAAATGAATTCTGTATAAAATGTCATTCTGATGAATATCATAATCATTTGAGAATAAGAATAAAGTAAAAAAATAAACTTTTAATAGAAACTTAAATCTATGAATAATATAAGTATTTGGTTACATTGTATAAAATAATATGTTAACCAAAGATAATTATTAACAGTATCTTTTACACAAAAAGACTTTTAATAAACAAGGACATATAACTTAATTTATTTTTCTTAATTAATATTAAAATTTATAGTTTTTAAAATTTGATGTACTTCTCCAAATTAAAAATGTTTTATTCATTATTTCGACCTTTAAATAACCTTGAGTAATTTGATTAGGAATACAATTTTTTAATTTTTTGTTTTAACATATTTTAATGAATTTTTATTGTATATAGATATAAATGAGCTTAATCTTCCAAAAACATGTGGAACAGAGTTTCCTGATCCAGATGACCTTCTTAGCTTTAAGCTAATTATTTGTCCAGATGAGGTAAGAACATTTTTTTTTTTTTTTTTTTGTGTACAATTTGGTAATGATTTTTAATTTTTTAGGGATTTTATAGAGGTGGCAGATTTGTCTTCAGTTTTAAAGTTGGGTCAAATTACCCACATGAACCACCTAAAGTAAAGTGTGAAACACAAGTTTATCATCCTAATATTGATTTGGATGGCAATGTGTGTTTGAATATTTTGAGAGAAGATTGGAAACCAGTTCTTACAATTAATTCTATTGTTTATGGACTACAATATCTTTTCTTGGTATTTAATATAATTTATAATGATCAAATTTTTTATAACAAAGTAGAGAATCTTTTATATAAATATTTATTCAATTGAAATCTATTACACCTTTAAATACACTTAAGCAAAGAAATTGTTATGAATAAGTATTATTTATTTAGGAACCAAATCCAGAAGATCCGCTAAATAAAGATGCTGCAGAAGTTCTGCAAAATAATAGGAGAGCATTTGAGCAAAATGTAGCAAAAGCAATGAAAGGTGGCTATGTTGGCGCGTTTTATTTTGAACGATGTCTTAAGTGATATTAACGTTCACTTTATCCGAGGACACACGGAGGACAGAGATCGAGAGTAGAACTCCTTCGTACTCTAAATGTGTTCCTCTCGTCCATCTTATACGTTTTAACGGACCTCTCTGCGTCTTCATGAGTGCTTCATACCTTTGGTCAGTAAACCATTGGTAAGAAATGTCACTGATGCGCTGTTTTCTCGGAGTTGTGGGATGCTTTTTATTTTTCTTTATTTCTTTTCCCTCAAATATAACAAAGGATCAAAGTTGTATTTATGTTTGCAAGTTTTTATTCACTAGTGATTCTTTGTCAAAGATAATTAAAAGTAGTGATTCATTATAAAGTATTATCAAGTAGCGATTCATTGTCAAAAATAATTAAAAGATAAAACAGATTGGCAAATATTAAAAGTTATTTTTAAGAGTACATTCACAAATGATTACAAATTGTTATTAGTTTAGATAGGTACACTTTTTACATGATTAAGCATGAACAAAGTGTATAATCAAAATTGTTACAATTTACTTTTATTTATAATCGTAAAATTCAATTAAAAATTCTGATGTAGGTATTTGTAACTATAATTTTATAAGAATTGCTGTAATCTTATTAAAAAGAATGTATATATGTGTATATTTATATGAAATTGCAAATGTATCTACAATTTCAGTCATCGCAGCTTCTCATAAATGTATCTCTGCTCCGAGGGTTACATCGCAGGATATGAATTATTTTCCATAAACGGATTTATATATATGCGTATATGTATATATAATATGTATATATGTATATATATATATCCCTGTCAAGCTCTTCATTTAAAATCATGTAACTTAACTTATGTATCAATCGAAAGTGGAATATAAGGCTGTTAACGAAAAAATTTTGTATTTTTTTGCAGTAGTTATACTATTCCTGATGTTATAAAGTTCTCTATTTCCCTACTCAGATATACTATAATCAATATCATTATATAAAACTACTATTAAATGTTATTTTATTCTTTCAAACAAAGAAATAAAAAGTAGTCAATGATGCACTGTACAATTTTTACAAAAAAAGACTTATTATAACAAATATTTTTAAATTAAAAACTTATTAAGTTATAAACTTTGTACAAGTTTTACTTAAAAGTGTAATGTACAAAGTAATATAATTCTACACCAATTTAATCTCCTTTAAAAATTTTATTACAATTCAGTTAATGAAATTAAGGCTGGAAAAGTTTGAATTCTTCATTTTTAATTAGCATTAATTTATTATACTTTAGTACAGTGTTTAGGAAACTTACAAACTAGAGAAGCGTCCTAGCCTCGATCCAATTTGCTTTCTTTAAATTAGGTCCCATCCGCGTCGAGCGTGTTGAAGGCACTTTTTCGAGCGCTTCAAGAGCGATCGAATTACTTTTTTCCCTTTCATCTCCTTTTCTCTTTCAAAAATACACATACATACACAGGCGCGCACGCGCTCCTTTTTCCTCTTTTCATACTTTCATTTTCATTTTCACATTTTCACATTTTCTTTTCCTTTCTTATACAAAAAAAAAAAAAAAAAAAAAAAAAAA